ACCCTAAACCGTTTGAATGTTTCTCTCCAGGAGACCAGCTGAAAACAAGGTAGTTCCCAGAGCCAAACACCTGCAGATGTGGGCTTTGAATCATTGCAGCGGCCTCTGTAATGAACCACTTTGAAACAGCAGAGGGTGCTAGGTCCCGGCTACTAGACTACTATAATCTGGATGGGTTTCGAAGAGCTCAGTAGGCTGTGGATTTAATGCTTATGGTTGAGCGGTGTGAGGTTTAGGAACTTGTGTTCGGGCCGTTCCCGAGGGCTTGGGTGTAGGGTTTTCAAACCCTGGGATACTGTTTTAAGTCCACCTGCGGCACTTTCAGCACAATGCTGTTGGGCTCAATTTCCGCAAAATCGATTCCCGTAATCGAACCCTCTATAAACACCGAAGCACTCAAACTTAAGTTTAGGGTTCAGGGTTTCGGAAAAGCCGTGAAAGCCAAGCCCTATCAACGAATCTATAAAACAACCTAAAGCCTTAGTTGAAAAGTCGAACAAGCAGATCATCCAAGCCCTATTCCAAATTCCCAGGCCCGAGCCCAAGCAGCATAAACCGAAAAGTTCTTGGCATAGAACAATAATCTCTCGGGCTTCCGTAAACTAGCTAAGCAAGCACAAAAACGATGGATAACCAACAAGAGGCGCTCAAACATAACAGAACACTTTACTGTCATCCTCAAGCACATTGATGGAAACCCTAAACCCTAAACCCTCAACCCTAAACCCGAAACCCTCAACCCTCAACCGGGATTTAGCTTAAAGGTACGAGGACTGACATTCCAAAAGGTGCCTGCTGGATGCTGTTTCCTTCCGCCATGAAGCGGACGAGGCTCCACCTGGGAGTTTCCGAAAATAAGGGTTTAGGGTTGAGGGTTTAGGGTTTAGGGTTTAGGGTTGAGGGTTTAGGGTTTAGGGTTTAGGGTGGGTTTCCATTGGGTACCTTATTTTGGGGTCCTTATAATAAGGATCCTACTATTTGGGGTACTATATCAGGGTCCCCTATTTTCGGAAACCCCCACCTGACTTCGAAGTTCTAAAGGGCGCGTTTAGGGCCTCGGGGTTTAGGGCTTAGGGCTTAGGGCTTAGGGTTTCGGGCTTAGGGTTTAGGGTTTGGGTTTAGGGCCTGGGGGTTTAGGGTTTAGGGTTTGGGGTTTAGGGCCTGGGGGTTTCGGGTTTAGGGTTTACAAAGTTTACAACTAATCTGAAGACGTGGTTTCGATGGCACTTACTCTTAAGGCGGCTGGGGTCTCGTGGGCAAGAGTTCACGGTGAACCCTCCTGAAGGTAAAGTATCCGCGAAAAGCGTCTCTGTGTGTCAAGAGCTTAGCCCTTGCAGTTCAACCCGAAACCCTGCAAGAACCAACCCCCTCAACGAAACACGGAAGCCTAAACCCGACACCTAAGCCCGAAACCCAAAACCCTAAAACCTAAAAGCCAGTCAGGAGGGTGGAGGTTTTCAGGTGCAGGATATGGGAGTTTCCGAACGTAAGGAGCGCCTCATTTGGGGGTCCTTATAATAAGGATCCTGCTATTTAGAGTACTATACTAGGCCCTAAAACCCTAAACCCTAAACCCTGAACCCTAAACCCCAAACCCTCAACCCTAAACCCTAAACCCTAAACCCTAAACCGTACTAGGGTCCCCTATTTTCGGAACCCCCCCCATATCAGAAGCCTCATCTCCCAAAGGACGAAACCATCAAGCACGTACCTTGGAAACCCGGCTACAGATCCTGGTTAGGGTTTAGGGCTTAGGGTTTAGGGTCTAGGGTTTAGGGTTTAGGATTTCGGGTTTAGGGTTTAGGATTTAGGGTTTAGGATTTAGGGTTGAGGGTCAAGACCTAAAGTGGGGAGGCTTGATCTTTACATGGTAAAGACCTGAAGCAATTGCTCTGCCAGAGGCGCAGCAGTATCAACAGCGCAATCAGCGAACCTCTGACACGATCTTTGTGTTTACGGTGCGGTTTAGGGTTTAGGAGGTGATGAGGTTCGACGTTACAAAGATCCAATGCGGGGATGGCGCTTGGCGTGCATGCCACACCCTATCATGTTCTTTATCCCCCCTCTTTTCGAATCTACCAAGGGCTTTCAAAACTACAACAGCTAAATTGGAACCCAATCCTTCTATGAGTCTATTGTACCAACCATGGACTATGAAATCTTCCAGGATCAGATTTCAGGACTTCGGGCCATGGTCGGGGCTTTAGAGCCTGAGTTTCAGACTAAACCCTAAACCCTAAACCCTAAACCCTAAACCCTAAACCCTAAACCCTAAACCCTAAACCCTAAACCCTAAACCCTCAACCGATCCGGAGGACGGGGGTTTGGAGATGACTTCGCAGTTTGGGCAGGGCTCGGTTTCTCTCTTCTTCCATAACTGGGACTAGAACTTTCCACGGTTTAGGGTTTAGGGTTTAGGGTTTAGGGTTTAGGGTTTAGGGATCTCTTCTTCCGTAACTGGGACTAGAACTTTCCAAGATAGATCAAACATCTATAAGGTTCGAAAGTTTAAAATTCTAGTATGGGCTAAGGTTGTGGGGAGAAAACTGTCAGCCTTTGGGTGCTGGCACGGTTCAGGGTGGGTTTTGGGCCTTGGGCTTGTGAAGGGAACAAGTGGGGTGAAAAGTTGGCGGCTTCGATATCTTTGCCGCAACCTGCTTGTTCGTCAGCTCGTGTTTTGCTTTTGAGTTTTCTTGTAAAGCCGATTTGTGTACTTGCCACGCCTGGAGAAGTCCTGTCTATCTTTATGAAGGAAAATCCCGTAAGACAAGCTCATCCACAAAAGAGAACTACATTCTAAGGTCTACGGGCTTTGCAGTTCGAGAGTTTAAGGTTCGGGGCCCACTGTTTAACCCAAGGCCTTCGCCAATCAAGAACCCCAAGATCTGGTCCTCGGCGCTGCAGGCTCGTCCACCAGAACTTACAACTTGCAGATATTGAAAGTCGGTTTAGGATTTAGGGAGGGCTCAGGGTTAGCTCTTAAGGCTCTTAAGACTTTCTGGTATTAGAATCCCTCGGCTTCATGCATAAAAACTGAGACCGACTCTAGGTCACACTCCAAGAAGGTTGATCCCTCCCGCTCGTAATCGAGAAACCAAATATATTGGGTTTAGGGTCTAGGTTTAGGGTGTCAGAAGGTTGCCTTATGAATTCAGTCCTTGCAAAAGTCCTTAACCTGTACAAAACCCAGTACATGCCTGCATGCAACCTTTGTTAATCAGGGGTTTACATTGAGGGCTTGGGATGATAGACTACGGTGCTAAACCCACCCTGAGCTTGACCAAACGGTAGCTGCACCCTTAGCCCTAAAGAAAACCCGACACCCCTAATGCCCTAAAGCCCCAAACAATGACCTGGCAACCCAAACCCTAAATTCTAAATCCGAAACCCTATGTACACCCATCAAGAGCCTAATTCAAATGTATTTATGCAAGCCCTGTTAATACAAACCTAAACCCTAAACCCTAAACCCTAAACCCTAAACCCTAAACCCTAAACCCTAAACCCTGAACCCTAAACCCTAAACGTCGAACCGGGGAGCAGGAGTGGAGCATCCAGGGAAGGTAGTTGTCGCCAGCATAGGAGACACAGGACCCTTGAAAACTGGCATCCTCGGGGTTTAGGGTTTAGGGCTTGAGGTTTAGGGTTTAGGGTTTAGGGTTTAGGGTTTAGGGTTCAGGGTTGACAATCGGAAGTGTGGTCGTCATAGTTTGGGTTTTGGGTTTAGGGTTGAGGGTTTGGGGTCATATCATGTTCTATCGTTTAGTTCTTGTTTGCGCTTGGGGCTTAAGATCGTGCGCATGGTTTGCGTCCGTTCTGTTCTTGCGGTTCTTGTGTCTCTGTGTGCGGGTGTGTCTGGGTGTGTGTGTGATTCGTTTTTTGCTGCTGCTGCTGATTCTGTTGCTCCTCCACGTAAACCCTAAACCGAACCCTAAACCCTCCTCCACCTTGCGCCACAACGACCATGGCGGTGACTTACGAAGGACAACGAGTACGGTTACGAGGAGGACGGCTGCGACCACGACAACACAAGAGTCTACTTTACTGGAGGTTTCAGGGTTTAAGGTGTAGGGGTTAGGGTTTATAGGGATTATAGTTTGTTTTTAATCTTGCCAAATAGCTACGCCTACCTTACTGATAAGGGTATCTTTATTGCTGGCCCGGAGCAAATAGCAACCGCTACCTCAGGATTTGCTGGGATGATGTCCTTGACCACTCTGTCTCTCTACTGTGTAGTTTACGACAACAAGCCTGGCCTTGTATAGTTCAAATGTGTATGCCCGCAACTAATTATGCTCAGCTCGCAAATCCAACGTTGTACAGTTGAGAGCTTACCTGGAAGGACCATGTACATACCCCAAATAGTAGGGTTTTAGGTCCCATATACTATACTTTGTAGGTTTTCGGCACATAACACCATACTATTTGGGTACTGGGGCCCTGTAGGGCTTTGCTTCTGCGTAGGTGCGAGGGAACCTCATACCCTAAACCCTAAGCCCTAAAACCCTACAGTCCCAAACCCCTGAACCCTAATAACAGTTCTGGAATTTGCGGTTCCGGAGTTGAGCTTGGAGCTGTCAGGATTCGGGCGCATGTGGGCCAAGTGTACGAACCCTATAGTACCCCTCAGAGGAATATAGAACCTCATGGTATCCCCAAATGGAACCTTATGGAACCCTGGAGTAACCCGAAAAAGGAAGCTTGGTATAGAACCCTAGAGGGGTTCTGAAAGGGCTCATAGGGCTCCTTTAGACAGATCCTGCCATGGTCCTCATGCGGGCTGTTTCAGAGCTTAGGGTTTAGGGTTTAAAGTTTAGTGTTTAGGGATTTAGGGGTTAGGGTGTTTGGGTTTGGGTCAGAGTTGAAGGAGCATCGTTTTGATTCGCCGCCAGGTATCAAAGGAATTCGCAGCAACGGCGACTTCGTCTGCAACGCATCCCACAATGTCCAGCCACCTAAGGGTACTGCAGGCGTACCTTCCCTAAACCCTAAACCCTGAACCCTGAACCCTTAACCCTAAGGTACAACGAAGGTATAAGGATACATACTATAGGATTTTTTCGGATGAGGGTTTGGTTCCATGAGTTACGTTTCCTGTTTTCCCAGAAGGGGCTTATATGGATGAGCGTTACCTGCTTTAGATCCCGTGTCAGCATCGTGCTAAGGGTTCAGGGTTTAGGGTTGAGGGTTAAGGGTTTAGGGTTTGGGTAACGCGCATCACAGCTCCAAAACAAGGGCTGGAATTGCAGGAGGATAGTGTGTGAGGTTTAGCTGCGGTAAACAAATTGCAAATGGCGTTTGGGCAGAGGTGCTTTCAGGGATTCCAGATTCGACGAAACCTCAAATCTACTTGCAAAATCCTACGATTCTTCTTGAGATTAACGCAGACAAAACCTAAGACATGCTTCCAGGTGCTCCGAAGCTAAATCCAGAACCACGCCTCTCCAAAGAGCTAGATTCTAGGGTTTAGGTTTTAGGGTTTAGAGTTTAGGGTATAGAGTTTAGGGTTTGGGGTTTAGAGTTTACAGCTTGGGGTTTCGAGTTTAGGGTTTAGGGTTGGGTAGACGATCTTGCGAGAAAGATGTGCAAAGCCGCAACGCGCCAGCATCTTTTGTCACCACATGCTCGCTCATGAGGTAGAGACTGACCTGGCAATGGAATCTTTGAAGTCTTAGTTTAGGGTTTAGGGTTTAGGGTTTAGGGTTTAGGGTTTAGGGTTTAGGGTATAGGGCTTAGGTCCCAACCCTAAAACCCTGGGGGCACGCATAGCGTCCAAGGTTTGGAGTGCAACCAATGTTTCTGCTCTATACCTGTGATATCTGCTTTCATACATTGAGATACAGATTTAGGGTTTAGGGTTTATAGGGTCTAGGGTTTGAGATAAAGACAGCTCTATTGTGGGGATTTCCAACCTCCGGGCCATAGGCAGCACTGTGGTTTAGGGTTGATGACATAGGTTTACACTCCAATGTAATTCTTTCAAGTGTTTAAGCTGATAAGGGGTAGTCATGGGTAGTCTGGGACCCTACCTAGGCTCAGACCCGCAGTTTTGGTTCCTCCTCCTCCTTGAACATTGCTATCCCAATCAAACTACATAAACCCTGCCTGTGGCTCCAATGGAGTACTAGTTCGGTGATTGCAGGTTAGATTATACCCTAAAGCTCAAACTCTATAAACCCTAAACCCTATGAACAATGCCCTAAACCCTATACCCTATAAGGCCCTAAACCCCGTGATTAAGGGCTCTAACCCTAAACCCAAAACCCTCTAACCCACTATTCGTCAAGTCTTCGGGCTGCAGGTTTTTTGAGCCCCGAAACACACCAGGTATGTCGCGCCTCCATCTTGATCAGAGCACTCCGGAAGCTCCACCAATATAAAAGCCTTGGTCTCCAAGGGCTTAGGGTGTTGGGCTTTAGGGTTTAGGGTTTAGGGTTTAGGGTTTAGGGTTTAGGGTTTGGGGTTTGGGGTTTAGGGTTTAGGGTTTAGGGTTTAGGGTTTGGGTTTGGGGCTTGGGGTTTAGGTTTTAGGGTTTTTGGGGTTTCGGTTTTAGGGTTGTTCCATGAGGGGAGTGTGGGGCTTAGAGTTAAGCCTGTGCCGCTAGTTGTGTGTATGAACGTACCCTAAGGGTTTAGGGTTTACGGTTTAGGGTCCATATATGGTATATACTTTGGCCCTAGGGTACTCAAATAGGGACTACATTTAAGCCAGAGAAGATACTATATTGGTACATGGACCATTAGGGGTAGTTCTGTCACAATGTTGCACCAAGCTGCAGGCAGCGCTGCTCCACGAAAAGAAAATGCCTGGGCGCTCCCGGAATATAAAACACAAAACAAACAAGTTCCACGCATTGCCACGCATGCCCTATGTTATTCTTAAAGTACCCTAAACCCTAAACCCTAAACCCTAAACCCTAAACCCTAAACCCTAAACCATTAAAGGATTTTCACTTAATCCTAAGTTACCGTACCAGGGACCCATTGTAGATACTATGGCTTGTGTACACGATGGGCATTCAAACCTAAGTCCTTAACAGTTCGGTTTAGGGTTTAGGGTTTAGGGTTTAGGGTTTAGGGTTTAGGGCCTTAACATGAACTTAGTTGTTTGTGGAAGGTCGCTGCTTGGCGTGCAGGCGTACAATGTGAGACATTTCAAGTTGAATGCCGGTTTTGGCTCAGGGTTTAGGGTTAGGTTTAGGGTTTAGGGTTTAGGGTTTAGGGTTAGGGTTTAGGGTTAGTTTGCGGGTAGAGATTCGGCAGCTTGAACACAACGACGTGTCGCAGAGCTGGTGGCACAACCCCTCCAAAGACCCCGTGAAGATCAGTTCTATAAAGCCCAAGACTATATCGCAACAAGATTAACAGGCGAAACGAGTTAAACAATAGACCTGCTCAAATTTCAAGACCAAGCACATGCAATAATGGTGGCACCTGCTGCATTACGAGGACTCTTCAGCATAGTATAGCGGCTTTAATAATGAATAGGGTTTGGGGGTTATTATACTAGAATTTGAATAGGGAGCCCCCCAAATAGTATTGGTAAATATTTAGACCCCCCCCCCCATGTTAGTCAGACTTGCTCCCCACTGTCTCTATATCCGGGCTAGACGTGCGACAAATCTAAATCCCCTGTCTCGCCATGTTTTAAAGATCCAAATCCAGGCTTAGTACCGGATTCGCCGACCCCAAAACCTCAAGTCTAAACCCTTAGCACCCCACATCTGAGAACACTGAACCTAAACAACCTATAGTAGAAGCCAAAAAGTTGGAACATCACGCCCCTCATACCCTTAAGATAAGGTATAGCGGATCCCAGAAACCTTTTGGGACTCACTGTAAAGCCCTCAGACATCCGAATGCCCTAAACCTCAAAACCTTAAGCCCTGCAACCCCCAGCCCTCAAGCCCGAAACCTGAAACCCTGAACCCTAAACCCAAAGCCCTCAAGCCCGAAACCTGAACCCCCTAAGCCCCTAAAACCCTAAAGCCTAAGCCAGGGTTGAGGGTTTAGGGTTTAGGAGTTTAGGGTTTAGGGTTTAGAGTTTCTAAATCCCCAAACCCTAAGCCCAAAGGCAAACCCTAAGACCCCAAACCCCGCACCTGGCATCCTCAGTCCCCTTGAGTCCTTCGGTTTAGGGTTTAGGGTTTAGGGGTTTAGGGTTTAGGGTTTTGGGTTTTGGGTTATCCTCTCGTTGGATATGAATGAGGGCTTAAGGCTTGACTGGGGTACCTTTAAGTGTCCCTTTAGGGTTCCTGTAAGGGTCCCTTGAAGGGGTCCTTAAAAGGTTCCGACGACGGTTTCCAGGGTTAAGTTTAAGGGGCTCAGGATTTAGGAGTTTCAGGGTTTAGGGGTTATTTAGGGTTCAGGGTTTTAGGGTTTAGGGTCTAGGGTTCAGGGTTTACTTAGGGTCTATGGTTCAGGGTTTGGGGACAACGGTGTTCGAACTTGTGGCAACAAGGTTAACTGTAGCAGTCCGTACACCCCACCTATGTCAGTATGCCATAACCCTGAGGTTCAAACGGCAGCGGTTTAGGGTTTAGGGTTTAGGGTTTAGGGTTGCTCCAAACCCTCAACCGTAAGGATAGTAACTATCGGGTAGTAGACAAGAGCTGACACAAACCTAAACCCAAACCGTCATTATATAATCCGTAGACTCCATCCAAGCATATCATTATATAACCTGTAGGCTCTATCCAAGCAGAACCAAAATCCTGATTGCAGGAAAAAGGAAACTTTCCACTGGACTTAAAACAAAATGTATCGGATCAAGCTCTTGTAGAAGCTTCCCCAAAAAAATAGAAACAACTCCTACATTATATTGGGCGCTCCTTATTATAATCATAGTAGAATCTACCCCAAAACCCTAACATGAAAACCAGACAAAACCACCCCTAAACCCTAAACCCTACACCCTAAACACCAGAGCAAACTCGTTCGAGCTTTGCGGCAGCAGCGCAGAGCCCGGGAAGTTGGCGCGCGCGGCGCTGCAGATGCGGGGATCCGGGCGCGGCATGGCTCAAATGGTTTAGGGTTTAGGGTTTAGGGAAAACTGTTTTATAGTGATTCTGCTGATGGGCAAAATCCTGCATGACCCTATATACCTAAACTATGGGATTTATGGTACTCTACTATATTTGGGTCATGCAGAATTTTGTCCATCAACAGTTCATAGGGTTCTTTGAGAATTTCACAAAGGATTTACAGAGTTGTGCTCACATGTAATCCAGTTCAGGGTTGGGGGTTTATATTGGGTTATTGGTGTGTGTGTTTTGGGGGCTGTTTTGAACATTCTTGTGGTTTGGTGTAAGGCCAATGGCTGAAAAAGGAGTTGGGGTCCTGCAGATCTGTACTTCAGGGTTTAGGGTCTAGGGGTTTTGGGAGTTAGGCTTTAGAGTTTAGACGCATTCGCAACCCTGGACGTTGGGGCTTTGCGACTATCTGCTAGCAAGGCTTCAGGGCTGAGGGTATTGTGTCTTGGAGTTTAGGGTTTAGGCCTTCTGGCGTCCTCTATGTGGTAGACCCGTTTACTAACAGCTGGATAGGCTCTGGGTCCTTTGCTTTGGGGCCTCCCTAAACCCTAAACCCAAAGCCCTAAACCCTAAAACCTAAACCCTAAGCCCAAAACCCGAAGCCCTAAAGCCTAAACCCTAAAACCGAGGCCTTAAAACCCTAAACCCTAAATTCTAAACCCCCTACGACACCGAAGCTTGCTCTCATGGGGCACCACGTTTTGAAAAGGAAGCAGCTCGGCCGGCCGGACACGGACCAAGAGGCTTTGGGGAGTTTGTGAAGCTAAGTTTAAGGTTTAAGGTTTAGGGTTTAGGGTTTAGGGTTTAGGGGGGGTTTAGGGTTTAGGGCTCCGGGGTTTTATGAAGATTTTCAAGTTGGGGTATTATGGGTTAGTGGTTAGGGTTTAGGGGTTTAGGGGTTGGGGGTTAGGGAGGGTCTAGTGGTTTAGGGGTTTAGGGTCTAGGGGCTGAGGAGTTTAGTGTTTAGGGTCTATCGGTTTAGGGTTTGGGGTCTAGGGGTTTAAGGGTTTAGGGCTTACATAACAGTTAAAGCAGGGCCAGATTGGGCTTTTGGATGGGTTCAAGTTACATAAAACCTCCAGCTAGCCCTCTAGTAAACCTGAAAAACGCACCATGTAGGACCCCCTACGTCGATAAACCCTGGCCCCCAAACCCCACGAACCCGAAACCCTGAAGGCAGGAATGGGTAGCCCTTGCCCAGATGGTAACCCTGAATCCCATACCCCAAAGTCTCCTATCCCTACAGGTTTAGGGTTTAGGGGCTAGGGTTTAGGGGTTAGGGTTAGGTTTTATAGGGTTTAAACTAGGGTTTAGGGACACACCCTGATTGAACTAATCCGTGAAACCCTCAACCCTGATTTACTAGCCCTACACCCTAAACTCCATCCTAGCACTAGTTACACCCTGATTGAGCAAACCTCCCTACACCCTAACCCGTATGTACTAATCCCCGAACCGGCGCCACGGCGCACTCAGCTTGTTGCTGGACAGTATCAGCTTTTGCAGGGAGGCCTTCCGACATGAGAGGCTTGGCCCTAAGCACAGGGACCTCGATAACTAGGAATGAGGTTCCAACAGGGTTTAGGGTTTAGGGTTCCTGAAAGCTTCCAGAAGGGCTTCAACAGGGACATACAATATGAGGGTCTAGAGGCTTACATGGATCACAGCAGGGCGCGTGGGGGTATATTATCGGATGTTAGCAAAGGACGGGACACTACTGTAGGTGTTTCGACCTCAATCAAGGCATTGGTTCTGCAAGGGAATTCATGTAGGATCCTTCACAATCAGAATAGGGTTTGGGGGTCTATTATACTGTACTTATAATAAGGGACCCCCAAATTGTTTAGGTAATTATTAAGGCCCCTATATTATTCGGTGTCTAAAAGGGTGTTTACCCCAAGCCCAAAACCCTTGACGGCTTTTGGATTCTGCGGCCTTCGACTTTACGGCTTTTAGGATCTTGACCCCTTGAAGGGCTTTTTTTACGATTTAGGGTTTAGGGTTTCCTGACATTGCAAACGGTGCCCCAAAACGGCTCATGAGGTCTATTCCTTAGTTAAGTTTTTTTGTTTTTTGTTTGAGTCTCTGGGCCAGAGAGATCAGGTTCAAGGGTTAACAGGTTAGGGCTCGGGGTTGATCGTTTAGGGCAACGAAAAACCCTAACCCCCTAAACTTTACGTAACTCCCCCTTTAAAAAGAAGCACCCTCAAGCCCAGGGCCAGGGCCCGGGCCAACTGGGAGATGGCTTTGGGGAGCTCCGCCAAGGCGTTGTCGCTGCAGAGGAGGCTCTGACAGCCTTCTTTAGGAGTTAGGGTTTAAAGTTTAGGGTTTTGGGTTTCGGGTTTTTAGGGTTTAGGGTTTTTAGGGTTTAGGGTTTAGGGTTTAGGGTGTAGGGGCCTTGATAATTAGAAGTAGGGTTTTGGGGTTCCTTTAAAGGGTTCCTTAAAGGGTTCTATGAAAGCTACTATAAGGGTTTCGGGTTTAGGGGTTAGGATTACGGGGACCCTTGGTGATATAAACCCTCTCAATAAGGTCCGCTTGTAAGAGAGCCGCAAGTATTGTTAAGAAGGGTCCCCTTTAAGGGGTCTCCTTAGTACTACCTTGGATTCGTCGACACCCGGGGTCCTCTTAAAGGTTTAGGGTTTAGGGTTCAGGGGGGTTTGGGGGTTTAGAGTTTAGGGTCTAAAAGGACCCAAAATGATATGTGACAGCCTTCTTCGAAGCAGGAGTCCCTCTAAAAGGATCCATATCAGAATGTATGTGCGTGTATGTATATATATATATATATATATATGTATATGTATATGTTTATATATATATATATATATATTGGGGTCCTGAAAAAGGATCTATGTATATCAGTATGTATGTGTGTGTATATATATATATATACATATATATATATATATATGTGTGTGTGTGCGCGAGGTTTAGGGTGTAGGCTTTAGGATTTGGAGAAAGGGGTCCTGCAAGGGTTCTACATCAGCGCCCTATAGTGGTCCAGGCTTCTATTTCAGGGCTCGATAAGGGAGTATGTAAGGGGTTCTTTAACCAAGGCTCCATGCAACGGCTCTGAAATATAATGGTTCTCCAAGGTAGTATGTAACGGCTCTAGAACGGTCCTATAAGGTTTGGGTCTCTGTCAGCCTTCCTGAAAAACAAGGTCCTTTAAGGCATATATCAGGGCTCTATATGTAAGGTTTCTGGGCCCTAGAAGCCTTGTTAAACGCTTGGCCTTCCCGTCTCACCCCAAGCTGCAAGTTTATGCGGGTAGTGTTTTGCACAGAAGGGCTCTGCAACCTAGTTGGATAGCGGGGTGTCCGCTCAGGGCAGATTTATTGAGCTTGGGGTTTTGAGTTCAATCTTCGGGGCCTTGGAGTTTAGTCTGAGGGCCTCAACAGTAGCATATATCGGGTATTGGGTATTATCAGTTCGTTATAGAGACTCTAAGAGGAAATGATTCCCAGTTTTTTCAATCCTCAATAGTAGAGTCTACTGCTCAGGGATTAGAAAGTCGGGACTACGGCTGGCTGTCTAAAGCATAGGGACGAATTCAAACCCAAAAGGGTTAGAGGTTCATATACGAAATAGGGATTCATGCTAAATGGGGAAATGTCCTGTTTGGTCCTAAAGGAACGGTAAGCACTAAACTGAGAGACTGGAGGATCTGTTTTTGGGGTTTGAGCTTGGGGTCTGGGGTGTAGCCGTTGTGGATTTGGGGCGTAGGGTTTAGGTGGTTCGGGGTGTTCAAGTTTATGGTGCTCAGTGTCGGTTTAAGGTGCCAGGCATGTGGCCTGTCCAGCTGCCGATCGTTTCAGGAAGTGCCTGCGCCAGCTGGTCTGACGTTTTGAGGCTTTAGGGTTTCGGAATTTCAGTCAAGGGTTAAGGGTTGAAGGTTTCGGGGTCTGGAAGAAAAGAGTTTCGGGTTTGGTGATATTTGGGGGTCAGTTGTCTTCCTCCTGTGTCAAAATGCTCGGCTCTCTACATTGCAACTCTATGTGGGGCCATACTACAAGGCTCAAGATGCGAGCTATTTACATCTGCGCGGTTTTCAAAAAAATACTGGGCCCCTTTTTGAACCCTAAACCCTAAACCCTTGTAGCTGCTGTGCTACTTTGGAGCCTTTGGGGGCTCTAAATTAGAGAACTACCACGTCTGTGTTGGCCTCTAGCCAGGTCTTCAGGACTGTGAGAGCCCTACAACCCGGCTTTACGCGCCAGGGTTTAGGGTTTTTAGGGTTCTAGGGTTCTAGGTTTTAGGGTTTAGGGTTTTAGGATTTAGGGTTTTAGGTTTTGGGTCATAGGGTTTAGGGTTTAGGATTTAATTAGGGTTTATAAGGGTTTCGGGTTTGAGGGTTTAGGGTTGCTGTCCGCTGAGGCTCAATATCTCTTTCACAGGAACCCCTCTATACTACCGCACATGAGTTTGCAAGCTAAACCAGACAGTAGCACGAAGGCATCCTGGCTACTATAGAGGAGCCAATGGCATCATGGAGCTTTTGCAGCACAAACCTGACATCCTGGACCAAGAATCACGAAGGCATCCTGACTTTAAACGTCTTAGAGGCTGCAGAAACCGGGCCACGGTTTCAAAAACCCATGCCAGCTCGATCTCGGTGTCAACCCTAAACCCTAAACCCTATACCACGACAGGGGGTGGTGCTGCACCACCTGCAGCCTTTTCGGGGCCACTTGGGATCATCATTTAGCCCTGGCCCTGGCAGAGGCTTGTGCTTAGGGTTTAGGGTTTAG